AATGTAATAAGTTTTACGAAACGCGCTCGTGTCGAGTCAGACTAGAAATAAAAATGAATTTTGGAGAATGATTTTGATTTACCTCCAACAGAAAAGAATGTACGAAAGATTGAGAAAATTGTTTGTTAGAATTATTATCTTACTTTTTCGGTCAAATTTAATAATAATGTCTACAGGAAAGACTGCTACCAAAATATACTATTTTATATATATTTTTTTTTTTTTTTTGTTTTTTTTTTTTTTAATAAGTACGACATTATATATATATATATATTATATATTTTTTTTTTTTTTTTTTTTTTTTTTTTTTAAATTGAATAATAGGGAAGGGAGTACCACCTCTGGCTGGAAGAAGGGGGGACCATAGCCTCGGAGGAACCACACATAACGCATTGGAGGGAATGTGGGTCCCTCCAATACAGTTTCTGTGTGCTTTTCTCCTACCACCCCTTCCCTTTTTTTTTTTTCCTTTATTGTGTATTTAAAGGTTACAAAACATACAAGACAATGCCTAAAGGTTATGGATCTCTTGAAGCTCCTCCGCTTCTGGACAGGAAACGAGGACGCAGCAAGCATTTCCCTTCTGGATCGCCACACTGAGACGCTGAAATAAAAAACTGGAAGCCCTTGGGTCTCTGGTGACGTCAATGAGCTTGGACCCCAATTCCTTGAGAAATCCCAAGGCACTCTTGCCCCAGGGGCCATGCGTCTCAGACGCTATGGGAACAAAGAGGTATTGACCTCCAGTCGCCTGTACTTGAGTGATTTTGCTGTTTCCCTGTGGTTGGCCGCCCCACCTGCTTGATCAGCTCCGAAGTGTACATAGGTGTCAGCCAGGGTGGATACACATGTGTAGTCCCACACCAACTGTCTACCCTCCTTCCATGAGTATATGGTGATGCATCAGGGCGAGTGGGGGAAATCGGGTTTTGGACCCCTAGGAGGCGAGGTTCTCTCTCGCTGGGCACCCAGCTGAGACGAGGCTTCTCTTGATGATGTCATTGACCTCGTTGTGTCTTGCATGCCAGCCCTTTGTTGCTTCCGCAATGCAACCATGCAGTCCGTATTGGTCTGCTCCACCCTGTTGCAAATACACTTGTATTCAGTGTGAATGGGGCACCAAGGCGGAGGGCCACTGCTACACGAAGGGATTCTGGATCTAGGCGCGTGCCCATTGCAGACATGGGTACTGCAGGAGGAAATCTCCTGCATGGGGGGCACGCACTGCTCTGAGGCGGGCTTTCTCCTTGTCTGATGTTGCGACGCTTAGCATGGCATCAGCTACTTTTCCACTAGAGGGTGGTCCCAGCTGGACTGTTTGTTGTTTTTGTTGGCTCTATAATGGTTGCTGGGGCTGCAAGAACATTCCACTGATTTGAACATCAGTGAAAGCAGGATCGTGTATTCCTGCTGAATCTCTCAGGGTTGCAGGTAAAATATCTCTGACGAGGTCGTGCGATGCATGAGAGGAGGAAAGGAAGCTGGTTAGAGCAATTTGGGAGGCTGTGCGGACACCAAGGCCGCCGAGTCTACAGGAAGGGTGCTTGCTCCCACTGAGGGTCGTCCAATGGCAGGTTCAGGACTTTCACCAGCATGGACCTCAGAAGGGTGTCATACACATTAACTTAGGGCTGCTGTAGGATGGAGAACATCTCAGAAAGTAGGTCAACTTAGGAGAGAGACAGGCATCTTGTAAGGAGAAAGAGAGCATCATGGGCATCGATCTTGTCAATCCTGTCCTGCATTTCTTTAGGTCAGTGATTTTTGCAGCCAGGACCTCCTCGATTGCTCGTGGGCCAATGGGGGCACCCAGGAGAGTGCAGTCCGGTGGCTCGACAACGAGAATGTCTGGAAGAGCATTTGTATTTGCCCAGTGATGTCTGGTTGCGGGAGATTATTTCACATTTGGATGCATTGAGAATGAGGCCTAAGGCTGCTCCCTGCTCCTGGATTTCCTTATATCCCCCAAATGGTTTCCGGAGTTCCAGCTAGAGTGCCATCATCCAGGTACCAGTGTTTAGCTCGCTTGTCAGACTATCAGTGACCTCTTTGATAGCTAGACAGAAAAGGAGGGGCTAGGGGTCACCTTGTTGGACACCTTCACAGGAGTTTATTTCATGCTCCCAAAAAGAAGCTTAGAGTCCCCACTGTAGCACGATCGGATGAATGGGTAAAGGGGACGGAATGGTTGTGTACAGCCCTGAGGACAGCATCTCGTCTGACTGATTGAAGGCATTTTTGAAGTCAAGCTTTACTAGTGCCTTCTGGTCCGGGAGATCAACAATGTAAGCCCCGCGCTGCATGTGCTGCAGCTTCACAACTAGGGGAATCCCAAACCCGAGCTGATGAGGTTTCAGCAAGGTGGCTGCTTCCTGGCTGATAGATCTCACTGCAGCCTTAGCTACAAGGCGTCGGAGGGTGTTGCCACGGCGATGGGGCCTGATACCCCTATCCTTCTTCTTTAGAGCACAGAGTGCTGCTCCATAAAAGACAGGCCTGATGTCCTCGGGGATGCCGCCAGCCAAACACATGTTGGAGAATCTGGTAAGTTCCACTAGAAGGTCCTTTGCAGCATCTCAAAGCACCGGGTTCAGCATTTGTTTGATGTGCTGGGGTCGTTAGGCCTGTAAACCCCCTGCTGAACCTGTTGGGAAAGACATGGCTGCTTTGTACACTCAGATTCTCGAACAGTCAAGGGTTCTATGCCAGCATTGTTTTCCTGGGGATCCTGCTGCTGTCGGGGGCTTGGGTGGGGTTTGTCTTGAAGAGCCTCTGCTGTAGTGGGCGTTCCTGGGGGCAATAGTGTCATCGCTGGTCATGATTCTGATGGCACCTGTGGTATGCCCTCTTCTATTTTTCTGGTGATCTGTGCTCTCATTTTGTGGTTCTCAGATGAGTTATTGTTGGTGGTCCTGCGGCTGGTGTTCTTGGCACGAGGGGGGAGGCGACCAGGTTGTCTGCTCTGGGGAATTCATTAAGAGCTCTGATTACAGAGGTTGCTAATGACTTGTCTCTCCTGGGCGGTAATGCTAGGCATGCATTCCCAAATAGAAGGAGATTGTGCCATGCTCCAATGGTTCTAGGAGCATTGTGACCTTTGTCAGCAGACTGGTGAGTTTGGCTGCTGCTTGATGACGGGCAGCCTTTGGGATGTGGGGGCAAGGTCCTGGTGGACGTCGCTTTGATTGCTTCAAGCAGATTATCTGCTGAAATGAAGTTGAGGGAGGTATTGTTCCTCGCTCCTGCACAGGTTGTCCATCGTCACTGCCCCGGGCAGGCGCCTAGACCCTAGACAACCACCTGAATTGAGAGAATGATAGCGGACAGTTCCATTTGAATTGAGACGATACCGTCTGTCACACACTTGACAGTTTCCTCTTGGGTGGCCATCTTCTTGGCTGGAAAGAGGCTGTGTGTCAGGTGCGACATGTGCCAGCCATGCTAGATGTGATGACGCTTGCTGCCGCTGAGTGCACCCTCTCCTTCCCAGATGGAGAGTAACACGGCAAGCATTACCCTCTGGGGGGGTTGGGCATGGCCTGGGCACCGTGTGTGGGTAGGCTGTGTGTTGATGGGCGGCTGGCTGGGTCGGGCGCAGGTAGCGGGGTGTGGGGAAGATGGGGGCGGGATATATATATCTTATATATATATAATATATATATATAATATATATATATATATAATATATATTATATAGTCGTACCTAGTAGCCAGAACGCACTTCTCAGCCTACTATGCAAGGCCCAATTTGCCTAATAAGCCAAGTTTTCATGAATTAATTGTTTTTAGACTACCTAACCCAACCTAACCTAACCTAACCTAACTTTTTCTGCTACCTAACCTAACCTAACCTAGGAAGATAGGTTAGGTTAGGTTAGGTAGGGTTGGTTAGGTTCGGTCATATATCTACGTTAATTTTAACTCCAATAAAAAAATATTGACCTCTTCATAAGAAATGGGTAGCTTTATCATTTCATAAGAAAAAAATTAGAGAAAATATATTAATTCATGAAAACTTGGCTTATTAGGCAATCGGGCCTTGCATAGTAGGCTGAGAAGTGCGTTCTGGCTACTAGGTACGACATATATATATATGTAAGATATATATATATATATATATATTATATATATTATATATATATATATATATTTATATATATATATATGTCGTACATAGTAGCCAGAATGCACTACTCGGCCTACTATGCAACTTTTTCTCTTTACTATTTCAACTTCTTGCTGTTTCGTCTGGAACGGCCGGACGGACTTAGTAATATTTTCTCTTACCATTTTCAAGTACGTAGCCACTGTGAAAACATGAAGGAATTAATTGAAACATCATTGAAACATGCAGAGAATATGTTGAAACATGCACGAAGCAGGTATAAACATGGATGGATTAGGGAGAGGCATAGATGGAACTAGTATAAAAATAGACTGAGTTCATAGAGTTCATTGTTCTAGTAGATGTAGATTCATAATAAAAGTTTTATATGGTAATGCAACAACATATCTTGACGTTCTCTGATTCACGTGTTATAGAGTTGCAATGGCAGCTAATATAAAAGTGTACAAATATAATATTTCATTAAATTCAATTACAAGTTTAATTATGACCTGTACGTCCTAATAAGCAGCCACAGCCTGGTTATACTTAAAAGTCTATTCCAGTAGATCAACAGTGATAAAGCAGTGATAAGACAGCCATTCTCTGTAGCATGATCCTTGATATTATGTGTTACTGTGAGAGAGTGAGTTTCCCGCCGCTGACTGCAAGTTGCAGAGTTTCTGTATGTGACCTCTGTGCACAGTGCACAGGGCAAGTGCACGAAGGCTCTCTCCCGCATTACTAGATGAAGACTTGGCTTGTTTGATCTTTAATGAGAAAACATGTTGCGAGCACCATTGTCATGTTCCGACGGCCGTTGTTGGATCAGAAAATATACAAAAAGATAGTGCAGCATTTCCATGTTGGACGCAAGCTCCAGGCAAGCAGTCATCTAGGTAGCTACTTGGTGAAGCGTCCCACCCAGGGCAGCACACGGATGATTACAGGTCAGGTCACCCAGGGCAGCACACGGATGATTACAGGTCAGGTCACCCAGGGCAGCACACGGATGATTACAGGTCTGGTCACCCAGGGCAGCACACGGATGATTACAGGTCAGGTCACCCAGGGCAGCACGCGGGACATTACAGGTCAGGTCACCCAGGGCAGCACACGGGTGATTACAGGTTTGGTCACCCAGGGCAGCACACGGATGATTACAGGTTTGGTCACCCAGGGCAGCACACGGATGATTACAGGTCAGGTCACCCAGGGCAGCACACGGATGATTACAGGTTTGGTCACCCAGGGCCGCACACGGGTCATTACAGGTCAGGTCACCCAGGGCAGCACACGGATGATTACAGGTCAGGTCACTCAGGGCAGCACACGGGTCATTATAGGTCAGGTCACTCAGGGCAGCGCAAGGTTCATTACAGGTCAGGGCACCCAGGGCAGCACACGGGTCATTACAGGTCAGGTCACTCAGGGCAGCACACGGGTCATTACAGGTCAGGTCACTCAGGGCAGCACACGGGTCATTACAGGTCAGGTCACTCAGGGCAGCACCCGGGTCATTACAGGTCAGGTCACTCAGGGCAGCACACGGGTCATTACAGGTCAGGTCACTCAGGGCAGCACACGGGTCATTACAGGTCAGGTCACTCAGGGCAGCACCCGGGTCATTACAGGTCAGGTCACTCAGGGCAGCACACGGGTCATTACAGGTCAGGTCACTCAGGGCAGCACGGCCTGTCAGAGGGGTGGCATTCAAATAGTAGGAATATAAAAGGACGCACATATTCGAAAGCAACGTTGTGTCAAATTTTCAAAGTAACTGGTGAAGAACTATCGGAGATTACAGCATGTGTTGCTCTTACGTCCAACAGATGGCGCTGTTTTTCAAAAAACGCATGTTTTTTTGTCCGTTCACAGGTGAGGCATGTATATAGTAGATATATAAAAAGACGCGCCTATTCGAATACAACGTTGTGTCAAAATTTAAAATTAATCGGTAAAGAGGATTCACAGATTTCCCTCAGAAAAAGGGAAAGGGGAAATAAGGGAAAATTTCCTTTTTTCAGAAAAAGCATGTTTTTTTTTACCGTCACAGACGTAACATCTATATAGTATGTATATAAAAACCTGCTCGGATGTGGATGGAACGTTGTGTGAAAATTTCAAAGCAATCAGTGAAGAACTTTCAGAGATTAGTGATTTTGAACAAACGAAACTTTTTTATCTCTATTTATATACAAGCATTACCCGGCCACGCGTTGCTGAGCCACAGCAACCTTCCCTGTCCCCCAGTCCTCCCCACCATTCCCTCCTCACCCGTCTCCACGGCATTTGAACCATTCCCCACTCAACTGTCCCTTTGTCCTCCCCACAATTATCCATTCCCCCCTCCCCACCATCCCTAACTCCCCTATCCCCCGTCCTTCCCCACCTCTCTTCTTCCCCCATCCTTCCCCACCATTACCCCCTCTTTTGTTCCCTCGTCCTTCCCACTATCTCTTACTTCCATCTCCTCGTCATCCTCGCTATTCCCCACTCCCTCGTCCGATGCCTTCCCAAATGGTCTGATGTTCCCATCAGAAAATTGGGAACATCAAGTGATCTGATGTTCCCATCACTGAAATATTATAAAAACAGTTAAAAAATCAAATGAAAATATGAAAAAAAAACAAATAAACTATACTCACAAAATGAACGGTATGGTAAAGAACACAGCTTAATTGCAACGCAATTCACACAAAATAATTAAATCAAAATGAAAATATATCAAAATCTATGAAAATTCATTTTATCAATGCAATCAGAAACATTGAAATGGAATGGTAACATTTAGTGTAGCATGTGTGTTGCTCTTACATGCAACAGATGGTGTTGTTTTTCAAGAAAAGCATAGTTTTACCTTCACAGGTGTGGCATCTATACTTATACTTATGAAATTAACGATATGGTAAACAACACAGCTCAATTCCAACACAATGTCACACAAAATAATTAATTAAAAATAAAATAAATCGAAATCTATGCAAATAAAATTGATCAATGTAATCGAAAACACTGAAATAGAATTCGTGACAAATATTGTATATCGTGCATGTTGCTATTATATGCAACAGATGGCACTGTTTTTTCAAAACCGAATGTTTTTACCTGTCACAGGGGTGGCATATATATATATAGTATGTATATAAAAAACACATGCCTATTCGAATGCAACGTTGTGTCAAAATTTCAAATCAATTGGTGAAGAACTTTCCGAGATTACAGCATTTGTTGCTCTTTCGTCCAACAGACGGCACTGTTTTTCAAAAAAAGCATATTGTTTTCCTGTCACAGGTGAGGCATGTATATAGTAAATATATAAAAAGACGAGCCTATTCGAATGCAACGTTGTGTCAAAATTTCAAAGCAATCGGTAAAGAGGTTACGAAGATTTCCCTCACATGAGTCAGAAAAAAAGCATGTTTTTTACCGTCACTGACGTGACATCTATATAGGATGTATATAAAAGCCTGATCGGATGCGAATGGAACGTTGTGTAAAAATTGCAAAGAAATCGGTGAAGAACTTTCGGAGATTAGCGATATTGAACAAACGAACATTTTCATTTTTATTTATATACTAGCAGTACCCGGCCACAGCAACCTTCCCTGTCCCCCAGTCCTCCCCACCATTGCCCCCTCACCCATTTTTTCGGCCACCAAACCATTCCCCACTCCACTGTTCCCTCATCCTCCCCACCATTCTCCACTCCACCATCCCCTCTTCCTTCCCACCATGCCCCACTACCCTGTCCCTTTGTCCTCCCACACCATTCTCCCTTCCCCATCGCTTTGTCCCCACCATCCCAAACTCCCCCCGTCCCCTTGTCCTTCTCCATCATTACCCCCTCCCTTGTCCCCTCGTCCTCCCCACCCTCTCTCACTTCCGTCCCCAAGTCATCTCCACCATTCCTTTCTCCTTCGTCCGATGCTGTCCTCAATGGTCTAATGTTCCCATCAGAAAATTGGGAACATCAAGTGATCTGATGTTCCCTTCACTGATATATAATAAAAACTGTTAAAAAATAAAATGAAAATATGAAAAAATTAAAAAAATAAACTATAATCACGAAATGAATGGTATGGTAAAGAACACAGCTCAATTCCAACGCAATTCACACAAAATAATTAAATCCAAATGAAAATAAATCAATATATATGAAAATTCAATTTATCAATGGAATCAGAAACGCTGGAATGGAATTGTAACATTTTTAGTATAGCATGTGTATTGCTCCTACATGCAACAGATGGCGCTGTTTTTGCAAGAAAATCATAGTTTTACCTGTCACAGGTGTGGCATCTATACTTATACTTACGAAATGAATGGTATGGTAAACAACACAGCTCAATTCCAACACAATGTCACACATAATAATTCAATAAAAAATAAAATGTATCGAAATCTATGAAAATAAAATATATCAATGCAATCGGAAACATTGAAATGGAATTCGTGACATATATAGTATAGCGTGCATGTTGCCCTTACGTCCAACAGATGGCGCTATTTTTCAAACAGCATGTTTTTTATCCGTCACAGACGTGACATCAATGTAGTATGTATCTATGGTACATACTATATAGTATGTACCATAGATACATACTACATTGATGTCACGTCTGTGACGGATAAAAAACATGCTTTTTCTGAAAAAAAAACTATTTTTTTCATTTGTTTTTCCATGTGAAGGAAATCTTTGAAACCTCTTTACCGATTGTTTTGAAATTTTGACACAGCGTTGCATTGGAATAGGCGCGTCTTTTTATATATCTACTATATAAATGCCTTACCTGTGATAGGAAAAAACATGCTGTTTGAAAAATAGCGCCATCTGTTGGACGTAAGGGCAACATGCACGCTATACTATATATGTCACGAATTCCATTTCAATGTTTCCGATTGCATTGATATATTTTATTTTCATAGATTTCGATACATTTTATTTTTTATTGAATTATTATGTGTGACATTGTGTTGGAATTGAGCTGTGTTGTTTACCATACCATTCATTTCGTAAGTATAAGTATAGATGCCACACCTGTGACAGGTAAAACTATGATTTTCTTGCAAAAACAGCGCCATCTGTTGCATGTAGGAGCAATACACATGCTATACTAAAAATGTTACAATTCCATTCCAGCGTTTCTGATTCCATTGATAAATTAAATTTTCATAGATATTGATTTATTTTCATTTGGATTTAATTATTTTGTGTGAATTGCGTTGGAATTGAGCTGAGTTCTTTACCATACCGTTCATTTCGTGATTATAGTTTATTTTTTTTAATTTTTTCATATTTTCATTTTATTTTTTAAGTTTTTATTATATATCAGTGATGGGAACATCAGATCACTTGATGTTCCCAATTTTCTGATGGGAACATTAGACCATTGAGGAAAGCATCGGACGAAGGAGAAAGGAATGGTGGAGATGACTTGGGGACGGAAGTGAGAGATGGTGGGGAGGACGAGGGGACAAGGGAGGGGGTAATGATGGAGAAGGACAAGGGGACGGGGGGAGTTTGGGATGGTGGGGACAAAGCGATGGGGAAGGGAGAATGGTGTGGGAGGACAAAGGGACAGGGTAGTGGGGCATGGTGGGAAGGAAGAGGGGATGGTGGAGTGGAGAATGGTGGGGAGGATGAGGGAACAGTGGAGTGGGGAATGGTTTGGTGGCCGAAAAAATGGGTGAGGGGGCAATGGTGGGGAGGACTGGGGGACAGGGAAGGTTGCTGTGGCCGGGTACTGCTAGTATATAAATAAAAATGAAAATGTTCGTTTGTTCAATATCGCTAATCTCCGAAAGTTCTTCACCGATTTCTTTGCAATTTTTACACAACGTTCCATTCGCATCCGATCAGGCTTTTATATACATCCTATATAGATGTCACGTCAGTGACGGTAAAAAACATGCTTTTTTTCTGACTCATGTGAGGGAAATCTTCGTAACCTCTTTACCGATTGCTTTGAAATTTTGACACAACGTTGCATTCGAATAGGCTCGTCTTTTTATATAATTACTATATACATGCCTCACCTGTGACAGGAAAACAATATGCTTTTTTTGAAAAACAGTGCCGTCTGTTGGACGAAAGAGCAACAAATGCTGTAATCTCGGAAAGTTCTTCACCAATTGATTTGAAATTTTGACACAACGTTGCATTCGAATAGGCATGTGTTTTTTATATACATACTATATATATATATGCCACCCCTGTGACAGGTAAAAACATTCGGTTTTGAAAAAACAGTGCCATCTGTTGCATATAATAGCAACATGCACGATATACAATATTTGTCACGAATTCTATTTCAGTGTTTTCGATTACATTGATCAATTTTATTTGCATAGATTTCGATTTATTTTATTTTTAATTAATTATTTTGTGTGACATTGTGTTGGAATTGAGCTGTGTTGTTTACCATATCGTTAATTTCATAAGTATAAGTATAGATGCCACACCTGTGAAGGTAAAACTATGCTTTTCTTGAAAAACAACACCATCTGTTGCATGTAAGAGCAACACACATGCTACACTAAATGTTACCATTCCATTTCAATGTTTCTGATTGCATTGATAAAATGAATTTTCATAGATTTTGATATATTTTCATTTTGATTTAATTATTTTGTGTGAATTGCGTTGCAATTAAGCTGTGTTCTTTACCATACCGTTCATTTTGTGAGTATAGTTTATTTTTTTTTTTTCATATTTTCATTTGATTTTTTAACTGTTTTTATAATATTTCAGTGATGGGAACATCAGATCACTTGATGTTCCCAATTTTCTGATGGGAACATCAGACCATTTGGGAAGGCATCGGACGAGGGAGTGGGGAATAGCGAGGATGACGAGGAGATGGAAGTAAGAGATAGTGGGAAGGACGAGGGAACAAAAGAGGGGGTAATGGTGGGGAAGGATGGGGGAAGAAGAGAGGTGGGGAAGGACGGGGGATAGGGGAGATAGGGATGGTGGGGAGGGGGGAATGGATAATTGTGGGGAGGACAAAGGGACAGTTGAGTGGGGAATGGTTCAAATGCCGTGGAGACGGGTGAGGAGGGAATGGTGGGGAGGACTGGGGGACAGGGAAGGTTGCTGTGGCTCAGCAACGCGTGGCCGGGTAATGCTTGTATATAAATAGAGATAAAAAAGTTTCGTTTGTTCAAAATCACTAATCTCTGAAAGTTCTTCACTGATTGCTTTGAAATTTTCACACAACGTTCCATCCACATCCGAGCAGGTTTTTATATACATACTATATAGATGTTACGTCTGTGACGGTAAAAAAAACATGCTTTTTCTGAAAAAAGGAAATTTTCCCTTATTTCCCCTTTCCCTTTTTCTGAGGGAAATCTGTGAATCCTCTTTACCGATTAATTTTAAATTTTGACACAACGTTGTATTCGAATAGGCGCGTCTTTTTATATATCTACTATATACATGCCTCACCTGTGAACGGACAAAAAAAAATGCGTTTTTTGAAAAACAGCGCCATCTGTTGGACGTAAGAGCAACACATGCTGTAATCTCCGATAGTTCTTCACCAGTTACTTTGAAAATTTGACACAACGTTGCTTTCGAATATGTGCGTCCTTTTATATTCCTACTATTTGAATGCCACCCCTCTGACAGGCCGTGCTGCCCTGAGTGACCTGACCTGTAATGACCCGTGTGCTGCCCTGAGTGACCTGACCTGTAATGACCCGGGTGCTGCCCTGAGTGACCTGACCTGTAATGACCCGTGTGCTGCCCTGAGTGACCTGACCTGTAATGACCCGTGTGCTGCCCTGAGTGACCTGACCTGTAATGACCCGGGTGCTGCCCTGAGTGACCTGACCTGTAATGACCCGTGTGCTGCCCTGAGTGACCTGACCTGTAATGACCCGTGTGCTGCCCTGAGTGACCTGACCTGTAATGACCCGGGTGCTGCCCTGAGTGACCTGACCTGTAATGACCCGTGTGCTGCCCTGAGTGACCTGACCTGTAATGACCCGTGTGCTGCCCTGAGTGACCTGACCTGTAATGACCCGGGTGCTGCCCTGAGTGACCTGACCTGTAATGACCCGTGTGCTGCCCTGAGTGACCTGACCTGTAATGACCCGTGTGCTGCCCTGAGTGACCTGACCTGTAATGACCCGTGTGCTGCCCTGAGTGACCTGACCTGTAATGACCTGTGTGCTGCCCTGAGTGACCTGACCTGTAATGACCCGGGTGCTGCCCTGAGTGACCTGACCTGTAATGACCCGTGTGCTGCCCTGAGTGACCTGACCTGTAATGACCCGTGTGCTGCCCTGAGTGACCTGACCTGTAATGACCCGGGTGCTGCCCTGAGTGACCTGACCTGTAATGACCCGTGTGCTGCCCTGAGTGACCTGACCTGTAATGACCCGTGTGCTGCCCTGAGTGACCTGACCTGTAATGACCCGTGTGCTGCCCTGAGTGACCTGACCTGTAATGACCCGTGTGCTGCCCTGAGTGACCTGACCTGTAATGACCCGTGTGCTGCCCTGAGTGACCTGACCTGTAATGAACCTTGCGCTGCCCTGGGTGCCCTGACCTGTAATGAACCTTGCGCTGCCCTGAGTGACCTGACCTGTAATGACCCGTGTGCTGCCCTGAGTGACCTGACCTGTAATGACCCGTGTGCTGCCCTGGGTGCCCTGACCTGTAATGACCCGTGTGCTGCCCTGGGTGACCTGACCTGTAATGACCCGTGTGCTGCCCTGAGTGACCTGACCTGTAATGTCCCGTGTGCTGCCCTGGGTGCCCTGACCTGTAATGAACCTTGCGCTGCCCTGAGTGACCTGACCTATAATGACCCGTGTGCTGCCCTGAGTGACCTGACCTGTAATGTCCCGTGTGCTGCCCTGGGTGCCCTGACCTGTAATGAACCTTGCGCTGCCCTGAGTGACCTGACCTATAATGACCCGTGTGCTGCCCTGAGTGACCTGACCTGTAATCATCCGTGTGCTGCCCTGGGTGACCTGACCTGTAATGTCCCGTGTGCGACCCTGGGTGACCAAACCTGTAATCATCCGTGTGCTGCCCTGGGTGACCTGACCTGTAATCATCCAGGTGCTGCCCTGGGCGACCAAACCTCTAATCATCCGTGTGCTGCCCTGGGTGACCAAACCTGTAATCACCCGTGTGCTGCCCTGGGTGACCTGACCTGTAATGTCCCGCGTGCTGCCATGGGTGACCTGACCTGTAATCATTCGTGTGCTGCCCTGGGTGACCAAACCTGTAATCATCCGTGTGCTGCCCTGGGTGACCTGACCTGTAATCATTCGTGTGCTGCCCTGGGTGACCTGACCTGTAATCATCCGTGTGCTGCCCTGGGTGGGACGCTTCACCAAGTAGCTACCTAGATGACTGCTTGCCTGGAGCTTGCGTCCAACATGGAAATGCTGCACTATCTTTTTGTATATTTTCTGATCCTTCAACGGCCGTCGGAACATGACAATGGTGCTCGCAACATGTTTTCTCATTAAAGATCAAACAAGCCAAGTCTTCATCTAGTAATGCGGGAGAGAGCCTTAGTGCACTTGCCCTGTGCACTGTGCACTGAGGTCACATACAGAACTCTGCAACTTACAGTCAGCGGCGGGAAACTCACTCTCTCACAGTAACACATAATATCAAGGATCATGCTACAGAGAATGGCTGTCTTATCACTGCTTTATCACTGTTGATCTACTGGAATAGACTTTTAATAAGTATAACCAGGCTGTGGCTGCTTATTAGGACGTACAGGTCATAATTAAACTTGTAATTGAATTTAATGAAATATTATATTTGTACACTTTTATATTAGCTGCCATTGCAACTCTATAACACGTGAATCAGAGAACGTCAAGATATGTTGTTGCATTACCATATAAAACTTTTATTATGAATCTACATCTACTAGAACAATGAACTCAGTCTATTTTTATACTAGTTCCATCTATGCCTCTCCTTAATCCATCCATGTTTATACCTGTTTCGTGCATGTTTCAACATATTCTCTGCATGTTTCCATGATGTTTCAATGGATTCCTTCATATTTTCACAGTGGCTACGTACTTGAAAATACTAAGAGAAAATATCACTAAGTCCGTCCGGCCGTTCCAGACGAAACAGCAAGAAGTTGAAATAGTAAAGAGAAAAAGAAGATGAGTGGAACTGCAAAATGGAAAAGGAGGAGAAAGCTGGAAAAGGATGGGAAGCTGCCCTTTCTAGATGTAACAGTCATGGAAAAGAGCGGAGGTTTCCACACTGCAGTCTACACTAAGGAAACGAACATAGGAATGTGCCTAAATGCCAACAGCGACTGCCCAGACAGGTACAAGAGGAGTGTTGTTAACGCATATGTCGACCGTGCTCTAAGCCACAGCTCAGAATGGAAGCAAGTCGACGAAGAACTCTGTAGGGTAAGGCAGGTCCTAGTCAACAACGGCTTCTCCAATGGTTTCGTCGAAGACATCATAAGAAGGAAAGTGAAACGCCATGCAACCTCTGAAGAGACAACTAACACAACACCTATACCCCTATTAGACTATTTTACAGGAACTTCTTTTCCACAGCTCATAAAACAGAGGAAAGGGTCCTGAAAGATATTGTTAATAGAAACGTTATCCCTACAGACAAAAATCAGAGGATACAACTGACGATTTACTATAAAACCAGAAAAACGGCCAGCCTACTCATGAGAAACTCTCCAGACACAAAGCAGAACGCTTTAAAAGAGACCAACGTCGTCTATGCCTTCAAATGCCCACTTGGGGACTGTAAGCTCCAAAAAACCCAGTATATAGGCAAGACAACAACGTCTCTTTCTAGGCGTTTAACGATGCATAAACAACAGGGGCTCCATTAAGGAACATATAATCTCTTCCCACAACCAAACCATCGCCAGAGAAATCCTAGTAAACAACACAGAAATCATCCATAGATACAGCGATAGCAGGCGGCTTGACGTTTGCGAGGCACTACACATTAAGAAGTCAACACCAGCAATCAACAGCCAATTAATGCACAACTACATTCTACCCACCTCAAGACTCTGCTCCAATATAGAAGCATCAAGAAATATGGACCAATAGGCTTTCTACAATCACTTCCATTCCAATACCCATTGTTTCGTGTTCTGTCTTGTGTTGATGAAATTAATACCCTATTAATGCCACCTCTTGTTCTGTCTTGTGTTGATGAAATTAATACCCTATTAATGCCACCTCACCCCATCCACCTCACTCAAATCTAGATATAAACGAAACCAGGAGATTTGTAAGTTCTATTCAGTTGTGTATTTGTAAACTAAAAGTCTTTGAAAATGTAATAAGTTTTACGAAACGCGCTCGTGTCGAGTCAGACTAGAAATAAAAATGAATTTTGGAGAATTGATTTTTGATTTACCTCCAACAGTGAAAAGAAATGTACGAAAGATTGAGAAAATTCGTGTTAGAATTATTAATCTTACTTTTTCGGTCAAATTTAATAATATATGTCTACAGGAAAGACTGCTACCAAAATATACTAATATATATATATTTTTTTTTTTTTTTTTTTTTTTTTTTTTAATAAGTACGACATTATATATATATATATATATATATATATTTTTTTTTTTTTTTTTTTTTTTTTTTTTTTTTATAATAATAGGGAAGGGAGTACCACCTCTGGCTGGAAGAAGGGGGACCCATAGCCTCGGAGGAAACCACACATAACGCATTGGAGGGAATGTGGGTCCCCTCCAATACAGTTTCTGTGTGCTTTTCTCCTACCACCCCCTTCCCTTTTTTTTTTTTTTTCCTTTATTGTGTATTTAAAGGTTACAAAACATACAAGACAAATGCCTAAAGGTTATGGATCTCTTGAAGCTCCTCCGCTTCTGGACAGGAACCGAGGACGCAGCAAGCATTTCCCTTCTGGATCGCCACACTGAGACGCTGAAATAAAAAACTGGAAGCCCTTGGGTCTCTGGTGACGTCAATGAGCTTGGACCCCAATTCCTTGAGAAATCCCAAGGCACTCTTGCCCCAGGGGCCATGCGTCTCAGACGCTATGGGAACAAAGAGGTATTGACCTTCCAGTCGCCTGTACTTGAGTGATTTTGCTGTTTCCCTGTGGTTGGCCGCCCCACCTGCTTGATCAGCTCCGAAGTGTACATAGGTGTCAGCCAGGGTGGATACACATGTGTAGTCCCACACCAACTGTCTACCCTCCTTCCATGAGTATATGGTGATGCCATCAGGGCGAAGTGCTGGGAAATCCGGGTTTTGGACCCCTAGGAGGCGAGGTTCTCTCTCCGCTGGGCACCCAGCTGAGACGAGGCTTCTCTTGATGATGTCATTGACCTCGTTGTGTCTTGCATGCCAGCCCTTTGTGCTTCCGCAATGCAACCCATGCAGTCCGTATTGGTCTGCTTCCACCCTGTTGCAAATACACTTGTATTCAGTGTGAATTGGGGCACCAAGGCGGAGGGCCACTGCTACACGAAGGGATTCTGGATCTAGGCGCGTGCCCATTGCAGACATGGGTACTGCCAGGAGGAAATCTCCTGCATGGGGGGCACGCACTGCTCTGAGGCGGGCTTTCTCCTTGTCTGATGTTGCGACGCTTAGCATGGCATCAGCTACTTTTTCCACTAGAGGGTGGTCCCAGCTGGACTGTTTGTGTTGTTTTGTTGGCTCTATAATGGTTGCTGGGGCTGCAAGAACATTCCACTGATTTGAACATTCAGTGAAAGCAGGATCGTGTATTCCTGCTGAATCTCTCAGGGTTGCAGGTAAAATATCTCTGACGAGGTCGTGCGATGCATGAGAGGAGGAAAGGAAGGCTGGTAGAGCAATTTGGGAGGCTGTGCGGACACCAAGGCCGCCGAGTCTTACAGGAAGGGTTGCTTGCTCCCACTGAGGGTCGTCCAATGGCAGGTTCAGGACTTTCACCAGCATGGACCTCAGAAGGGTGTCATACACATTTAACTTAGGGCTGCTGTAGGATGGAGAACATCTCAGAAAGTAGGTCAACTTAGGGAGAGACAGGCATCTTGTAAGGAGAAAGAGAGCATCATGGGCATCGATCTTGTCAATCCTGTCCTGCATTCTCTTTAGGTCAGTGATTTTTGCAGCCAGGACCTCCTCGATTGCTCGTGGGCCAATGGGGGCACCCAGGAGAGTGCAGTCCGGTGGCTCGACAACGAGAATGTCTGGAAGAGCATTTTGTATTTGCCCAGTGATGTCTGGGTTGCGGGAGATTATTTCACATTTGGATGCATTGAGAATGAGGCCTAAGGCTGCTCCCTGCTCCTGGATTTTCCTTATATCCCCCAAAATGGTTTCCGGAGTTCCAGCTAGAGTGCCATCATCCAGGTACCAGATGTTTAGCTCGCTTGTCAGACTATCAGTGACCTCTTTGATAGCTAGACAGAAAAGGAGGGGGGCTAAGGGGTCACCTTGTTGGACACCTTCACAGGAGTTTATTTCATGCTCCCCAAAAAGAAGCTTAGAGTCCCCACTGTAGCACGATCGGATGAATGGGTAAAGGGGACGGAAATGGTTGTGTACAGCCCTGAGGACAGCATCTCGTCTGACTTGATTGAAGGCATTTTTGAAGTCAAGCTTTACTAGTGCCTTCTGGTCCGGGAGATCAACAATGTAAGCCCGCGCTGCATGTGCTGCAGCTTCACAACCTAGGGGAATCCCAAACCCGAGCTGATGAGGTTTCAGCAAGGTGGCTGCTTCCTGGCTGATAGATCTCACTGCAGCCTTAGCTACAAGGCGTCGGAGGGTGTTGCCAACGGCGATGGGCCTGATACCCCTATCCTTCTTCTTTAGAGCACAGAGTGCTGCTCCATAAAAGACAGGCCTGATGTCCTCGGGGATGCCGCCAGCCAAACACATGTTGGAGAATCTGGTAAGTTCCACTAGAAGGTCCTTTGCAGCATCTCCAAGCACCGGGTTCAGCATTTGTTTGATGTGCTGGGGTCTTAGGCCTGTAAAGCCCCCTGCTGAACCTGTTGGGAAAGACATGGCTGCTTTGTACACCTCAGATTCTCGAACAGTCAAGGGTTCTATGCCAGCATTGTTTTCCTGGGGATCCCTGCTGCTGTCGGGGGCTCTGGGTGGGTGTTTGTCTTGAAGAGCCTCTGCTGTAGTGGCGTTCCTGGGGGCAATAGTGTCATCGCTGGTCATGATTCTGATGGCACCTGTGGTATTGCCCTCTTCTATTTTTCTGGTGATCTGTGCTCTCATTTTGTGGTTCTCAGATGAGTTATTGTTGGTGGTCCTGCGGCTGGTGTTCTTGGCACGAGGGGGGAGGCGGACCAGGTTGTCTGCTCTGGGGAATTCATTAAGAGCTCTGATTACAGAGGTTGCTAATGACTTGT